AGTTGTTCAGTGTGTAGTGTAGATTGCTGTCACTTTACTCAGTTGGTTATTGTATGGTGTAGACTACTGTCACTTTACTCAGTTGTTTATTGTATGGTGTAGACTACTGTCACTTTACTCAGTTGTTTATTGTATGGTGTAGACTACTGTCACTTTACTCAGTTGTTTATTGTTTGGTGTAGACTATTGTCACTTTACTCAGTTGTTTATTGTATGGTGTAGATTGCTGTCACTTTACTCAGTTGTTCAGTGTGTAGTGTAGATTGCTGTCACTTTACTCAGTTGGTTATTGTATGGTGGAGATTACTGAAACTTTTTTGATATATTCGAAGTGAGATGTAGACTACTACTGAATAGTTAGAAGAGTGTTATTTAATTGGTTAAGTTGATATTCTGTTGTATTTCTGTGCTTTCACAGCAATCAATATGATTTACTGGCTTCTTCTTCCGGTACCTATAGTTGCTTACTCAACAGTTGATGTGGTGTACCTGTGGAACCCAGCCAGAAGAGTAGTTATTCATCCAGATATGAAGATGTCACAGTTCGACCTGATTGATAAGCCAAGCGGGAACCAAACGGATCACTTCAGGCATAGTAAGTTCTTAAATAACGATCTTGAAGCAGAAGGAGTTAATATTGTAAAGTTGTTTAATGGAGTGTTGTTACACAATCAAGTGAGGAATCTATTTTCAAATAATTGGTAGTTTTACTCGGTTTTCTACTGTTCACTGACTTGGAAAACTCATCAGAAAACCGAGTAGATAATACAGAGACCAAATAAAAATATAACAATGAAAATAAAGCAGATTTTTAACATAATTATACAAGATAAAGTGACATTTGTATAAAAATCAATCATATTATTAATATCAGTATATCAGATGAAGTGACGATTATATAAAAATAAACCTGACCAAAGAAAGATTGGGCTGTTAGTAGAGACAAAACTTATTAGAAACGATGTTTACAAAGAAAGTTCTTTCCTATTTTGCCCCCTCAGTGGCTCAACAGCAAGTCTATGGGTTTACAACGCTAAAAATCGGATTTCGATACCCGTCTGTAATGGTTAGAACACATTTCATCCATTGTGTAGCTTTGTGCTTAACAACTACTAAACGAAACCTAAACCTTTTCTGGTTGACACACTGGTTAACTGTGAGTTATAACTGGACCCTCGTAAGATAGATATTGCAAAATATCTAAGTTTGAATAACCGAAAAAATTTCTGAGTAAACTAAGTTTTGTTGAACGAATTCCTATCGTGAGGAATAATAACTTTTTTTTGAGTTTAGACCCGGTTTCCGTGCCCTTGAGAATGCCTTTTGTGGGGAGTAATGAGCCTTTTTCTGAGATTAGGCCTTATTTCCATGCTTTTGTAAATGCCTTTCATGAGGAGTAATGATTTTTTTTCCTGATTTCAGGTCCGTTCTCCGTGCTATTGGCAAGTTTTCATCTGCAGAGACACATGGGTTACTTTGTGATCGAGGTGTACGCCCCGTGTATCATGCTCGTCGTTCTTTCGTGGGTTTCTTTTTGGATCAATAGAGAAGCAACTGCCGACCGCGTCGCTCTTGGTTAGCACACATTTAGTTAACAATTCTTTATTAATGTTAGTAGGAAGTTCGAATCGGGAAAATCTACTTTTAGGCTTATGTTGTGGTTTGTGTAAAGTACAAAACCTACTTTTAGGCTTATGTCGTAGTTTGTGTAAAGTACAAAACCTACTTTTAGGCTCATGTCATAGTTTGTGTAAAGTACAAAACCTACTTTTAGGCTCATGTCGTAGTTTGTGTACAGTGCAAAACCTACTTTTAGGCTCATTTCGTAGTTTGTGTAAAGTAAAAAACCTACTTTTAGGCTTATGTCGTAGTTTGTGTAAAGTAAAAAACCTACTTTTAGGCTTATGTCGTAGTTTGTGTAAAGTATAAAACCTACTTTTAGGCTTATGTCGTAATTTGTGTAGAGTGCAAAACCTACTTTTAGGCTTATGTCGTAATTTGTGTAAAGTGCAAAACCTACTTTTAGGCTCATGTCGTAGTTTGTGTAAAGTACAAAACGTACTTTTAGGCTCATGTCGTAGTTTATGTAGAGTACAAAACCTACTTTTAGGCTCATGTCGTAGTTTGTGTAAAGTACAAAATGTACTTTTAGGCTTATGTCGTAGTTTGTGTAGAGTACAAAACCTACTTTTAGGCTTATATCGTAGTTTGTGTAGAGTACAAAACCTACTTTTAGGCTTATGTCGTAGTTTGTGTAAAGTACAAAACGTACTTTTAGGCTCATGTCGTAATTTGTGTAAAGTACAAAACGTACTTTTAGGCTTATGTTGTGGTTTGTGTAAAGTACAAAATGTACTTTTAGGCTTATGTCGTAGTGTGTGTAGAGTACTTTAGGGGATCGACAAAATTGATATTTAGTGTGTTTGTGAGTGAACTGGACAGGCTACTAGTGATATTATGTTATTATTCTGAAATAATTTATGTTGATATTGTAAGTTTCTCATATTAGTTGCTAAACAGAATTATAGTGATGTTATTGTGCTATTATTTTACAGAATATTTTGTGTTGATATTGTAAGTTTTGTATTACTTGTTAAAAAATACGGCGTGGTTATTGTTTTACTATTTTAAATTGTTTTCAATCTCTATAATGTAAGTTTATCATATTATATCAATACTTTGACGGGTCCAGTAGTGTAGTGTCTGTACCAGATACTCAGTATTTTAATGGGTCCAGTAGTGTAGTGTCTGTACCAGATACTCAGTATTTTAATGGAACCAGTAGTGTAGTGTCTGTACCAGATACTCAGTATTTTAATGGATCCAGTAGTGTAGTGTCTGTACCAAATACTCAGTATTTTAATGGATCCAGTAGTGTAGTGTCTGTACTAGATACTCAGTATTTTAATGGATCCAGTAGCGTAGTGTCTGTACTAGATACTCAGTATTTTAACGGGACTACTAGTGTAGTGTCTGTACTAGATTTTCAGTATTTTAATGGTTCCAGTAGTGTAGTGTCTGTACCAGATACTCAGTATTTTAACGGGACTAGTAGTGTAGTGTCTGTACTAGATTCTCAGTATTTTAATGGATCCAGTAGTGTAGTGTCTGTACCAGGTACTCAGTATTTTAACGGGACTAGTAGTGTAGTGTCTGTACTAAATTCTCAGTATTTTAATGGATCCAGTAGTGTAGTGTCTGTAC